CTAGCCTCCCTATAGTCAGGAGGTAGAAGTCAGACATTCCTCCACGCTCTGTTGTCCTATTCTCATCATTCTTCCCACAGTTCTCCACTTCCGTGTTGGGCTTGATGATGTGTTGCAACGACCTCCCAGAACTCACAGACAATACTCACAATTAAAGGGGCTTATTAGGGAAGCTAATACATTACCACAAGTCAGGATCAGCAAACAGTCAGAAAATAGTCATTGGTCCACAGCAGCACCACTCCTCAGCCAGCAGCCAAGTCTTAATCCAAGCCTCAGTCCCTCAGCTATGTGGCCCTCTGGCCTTTGCATTCATGGTCCAGGAGGCCAGCCTGCCTATTGCCCTGTCTCACAGCCCCAGTCTTGGGCCAGATGAAAAGATACCAAAAAATGAAACTCATTGCCCTTGAGTTGATTCCAACTCAGGGCACCCTTTAGGATAGGGTAGAATCTCCCTTGTGAATTTCCGAGATTGTGAATTTTTATGGGTGTGGAAAACCTTGTTTCTTGCTCAGATAGAGAAGCGACCCCCTAGTCTCCGTGCTGCTGCTCTGACTCTCTGTGCCACAGTCTCTGCTGCATCTCGTCTCAGTCGCCTCTGCCACTTGAGAGAAAGATCTAGAACGTGCTCCTCCGGAGGTCCTGGACTTTCTCTCTCTGCTGCTGCAGCAAAGATGGCTCATCCTTAAAGCTGGTGGGGCTGTAACAAAAAGTGACCAATCCCTTCTATTCATGTAACATACCCCCAATTTGCAAAGTCCCACCCACTCATTTGGTGGGAGCTACAGAGGCTTGGGAACAAATGGTATATTAAGACATTCCATTCCACCACACGAATTATAGTCCCTATATGTACAAGGAACTTTAAGACCCTTATCTTCATATTGAAATGAAGGTAGCAGTGTAGGTGGAAATTAAGGTGCAGCAGAAGTTAGATTGGTACGTGCATGAGACAATCCTGAACATTTGGGGCTTACCTATGTAGTGGGACAGGAAGAGGCAAAGACATTATAAATGGAGACACTGAGAACTTATAATGGGCTATACACAGAGGCCAAGGAAGGAGAGGATGTCAGGATAGAAGTCAGGAATCAAGCAGCACACAGTGATGAAACAGGAGAAGGGCAACCGACCCCATTAGTGGAACGGGTTGGACAAAAACATAGCGTCAAAAATTCATTTTTCTCCCTTACAGAAGTGTCGTGGGGAGGAGATGAGCCAGTCAGGGTGCAGTGTGGAAACGATGAAACATACAACTTTCCTTTAGTTCTTAAATGCTTCCTCCCCACCCACTATCATGATCACAATTCTACCTTACAAATCCGGCTAGACCAGAGTATGTACAC